AGATCTCGGAAACGGTAAGAGATACGAAGTAACTTAAATGGGGGCAAAGTTGCGTAATCAGGGGACCAACATTATGCCTCTAAAAAAACAAGGCTAATATGATTAGTTTTCGAAATATTTGAAAAAAAAACGAAATTTTGGAAATTCGTTTTTGTTTCATTTCAGCCTTATTTGAGGTGATATTGAAAGAAGAAGAACACTTTCTCATGGCCACTTTTTGCCCTGTATCCAATGGCATAATCAATTTTTATATGTAACGTTTAGTCTCTCCTGGACCATCATCAACTTCATTTTTTTAAATACGACCCTGGAAATTTTATTACATTTTTTGCAAGCCTTCGGGACCCCTAATACTGTACTGCCTCCAGTGTTTTAATTCCAAATTTATCTAAATTTTTTGTTTAGAATTCATTATTTATTGAATTATCGTACACTTTAAGTGTACTTAGACTCTGTGAAATTCATCTAGTTATTTAAACTATTATATTATATTTCCAAAACATTATTCATTTATTTTTGACATAATTTTATGTTATTTTATCATATATTTGTTATTAATTAAAATCAAGTAATAAAAATATCTTCGGCTTCGGCCGAAGGTGACCCATAAACAGAAGTTTAGCTTCGGCTTCGGCCAATAAAATCACATTCGGTCGATCTCTACAGAATATTGCACGAGGCAAGTTTATACAAAAAGAAAAGCAGTGAGCTTACAAGAGTATTATTACAGGCAATTATTTTTCATTGGACAAATTGTGTATTAGAAGAAAATTTCTTGATTTAAGACATAAAATCAATAATTAAAATCTTTAAAATCAAGTTATATGTAAATTGCAAGTAAAAACCTGATGACATCACATGTGTCAAGTTCAAGCCTTGCATGTTGGTTTACAAGCATTGTGGTATGACAAAATTAATGCAGTTATACATACCGAGTAAACTTAAAAAATTACATTAAATTAAATTATTATCTGCATAGTGTAAACGATTTTTGTTGAAAATGATAATTAATTTAAAGAAATATGGTACCAATGTTCTTTCTTAATCTTTGTGATGTTCAAATGTCCTATATCATTTTTTTAAAGGCATCTTAAAATGATTGTTTGATGAAAATCGCAGAAAACTAACCAATAGTTTCTAACGTTTCGCCAATTTTTTGTTAAAGAAAGGACGTCCGGAAGCGAATAAGGTCACTTCAAGGGTCTTTTCCTTAAGTAAAAATAAACTGATTTAAATTAAGTTAACTACCTACTTTATACAGTTTTGCTTGCTTGAAATGAATTTTATTTATTTTATATCTTTTTTAGGATTCCTTTAGAGGATTTTTCACCGAAATCTGATAAGAATTTTGAACATTAATATAAGTTTATTTTTTGCCTTACTTTTGTTGTTAGTAGAGATTTTGCGAAAATGTAGATGCTTTATTATCCCTCATTCTTTTTTAAAGTAAATAAATAAGTGAAGTTTAATTTCGTATAAGATTTTAAAAAATGAATTTATTTGAATTAACTTTAAAATAGACTAAAAAAAGTCTCATTTTATTGACTCCAAATGTATGCATATCGCTAAAATGCACCGTTTCGGAGGGGTTTCAATTTTTTACAGCAGTCGTCAGTGGTCCATGCAACCGAGTAGGTAAGGTATTTGGAAATATTCTAGTCTAATTAAACTTCACTTTTTGCTACATCAAGTTAAACTTTTTATGCGATTTAGATCAATTTCTCCGAAAGTCGACACTAGCTAGGATATTACAGCTCAATAAATTTAATTTTGTGGTACTTACTGTTTTCTAGAAATCTCTACTATACTATAAAATACTATACTAATAAAAATATATTGCAATACAGAAAATACTGTTTAAGGTGTTCTTAATGACCTAGGGTCTTTTAGGTAGAAAATAAGCTCATATTCCTGTGATGCTACCCCAAAAACCCTCCCATATCAAGTTTCATTTTCTCTTAAAGAAATCTCAAAATCAAAAATTTTTTTATGGCTGATAACTTTTTAAGGAAGCAAAACAGTGCTAATGTAACTTGATTTAAATAAGTTTATTTCCACTCCAGGAAGCTACTTTTAAAGTAAGGTCGATTTGCTTTCAGACACCCTGTATAAATTAGCTTTATGGTTTTATAACAGGGACATTTTCAATTCTTGCATGCATCTTGTTAGTCAGGATAAACTTATAGTTTTATGAATTCCTATCTATACTCTGTAAATAAAGACTTAGATATACAAATAATTGTTTTCCTTCTTTGAATAACCGAAAATTCTTTTAACAGTCATTCTAGTCTGGTCTACCTTTGTATGTTTCGTTTTCATTATTAAAACGTACTGAATAGTGTTGAATTTGTATTACGGTAAAGCACGCAAATGTGTCGATAAGATATTTTTAAGTCAAGAACAGTGCATTATAATCAACTCGAAAAAATGTGTAGTTAAGATTACTTTTACACATTTGTTTGATATTTTATATAGAGTTTCAGGTTTTAACATATATGACAGATCATCATAAAAGGGAACTTTAGATTCGAAAAAGTAAAAAATTATTAAAATGTGATCACCATACTGGGTATATTAAAATAATATAAGTAATATTTTTTATATTTCCATAAAAATATATAACGAACGTTAATTCTAGTCTACATAAATTTAAAAAAAAATACAGGGTGTTAGTAAATAAGTGCGACAAATTTCAGGGGGTAATTCTACATGAGAAAATAATGGCAATTTGGTTATAAACGTATGTCCGCAAATGATTCGTTTTCCGAGATACGGGGTGTCAAAGTTTTTCTTAAAAACTGACGATTTAATTTATTGCTCTGAAACCGGTCAAGATGTGCAAATGAAATTTGGTGGGTTTTAAGAGGTAGTTATTGCGCATTTTTTGACACGCAATTAAGAATTTTATGTTCATCATTGGCGCGCGTACGGGTAATAATCTCAATTTTTTTAAAGATAAAAAATGGTACGCTACTGAGATATTACAAATTAAAAATTTTTGAATTCCTCGGTCAATTTGTGACAAAAAATCTATTGCCTTTTCTTCGTATGGGGTGCCATTTTGATGAAAAAAATAAAACATCTTAACGCGTATTTTTATTTCTTTAATACATTATCAGAACTATCTAATACAATAACATTAAACCAGAACAATAACAGAAAATAACACTAATAAAATTTTGAAAAGGCGCAAAGCTACAACAAATGTTCAAAATGACCTCCCTCAGACGTGACACAAGATTCAACTCTTCGCCTCATTGATTGTCGTATTCGCGCAAATATTCCTGGTATATTTCTTATTGTCTCACAGCCGACTATAATTCGATTCCTCAGGTCATCAACATTTTCAACGGGAGTGGAATAAACTAATGACTTAAGAAAACCCCAAATGCAAAAATCAAGAGGATTTAAATCCGGCGATCGAGCAGGCCAATGTTCCGTACCTCCCCTACCTATCCAACGATTTGGATATACTGTGTCTAAGTGATTACGTACATTAATGCTAAAATGGGCTGGTGCACCATCATGCATGTACCATAGGTGTTGTCTCAGCTGTAGAGGAATTTCTTCAAGAAGAACAGGTAACTCTTCCTGTAGGAAATTAAGATAAGATTCGCCTGTTAGTCGTTGTGGGAGGAAATATGGACCGATTAAATGATCATCAATTACCCCAAGCCATACATTTACGGAAAACTGATGCTGAAAATGAGCTTCAAAGATTCCATGGGGGTTTTCCTCAGCCCATAAGTGATTGTTATGGAAATTTCGTATACACTGTCGTCCAAAAGTAGCCTCGTCAGTAAACAAAACGGCATTTAAAAAATTAGGAATTTGAGCGATTTGATGATTAATCCATTGGCAAAAAAATAGGCGCGGAAAAAAGTCTCTAGGTAGTAGAGCTTGCACACGTTCAATATGAAACGGATACAATTGCTGTTCTTTAAGAATTTTAAATACAGTGAAGTTGCTTACATTCAATATGTTGGCAATTTTTCGAGTACTTGTTTCAGGTGACTCCGCAATTAACTCGAGAACTGCTTCTTCTAGTTGCACAGTTCGTACTTCTCGAGGGCGCCCACAGTCAACCGTTTGTTTCTTAAATGAACCATTTTCGCGCAAACGTTGATGAAGACGAGCAAATATTGTGTGATGAGGTACCCTACGTCCTGGATACAACTCAGCATACAATCGTCGAGCTTGCCGACCATTTCCATTACTTCGACCATAGACAAAATGCATGTCTGACAATTCCGCATTTGTAAAATTTTCCATTCTTTTCGATAAAAGAAAAATTAATTACTTATTAACACTAAAGTTATAGCAAACTAAAAGCTTAATAAATTAATAATGACGAAACGCTAATTTGACATTTCTTAAAAATATTCGTATTTAACAGACAAATGTTGACAGTAGCCTACTAGGTAATGTATTAAAGAAATGAAAAATACGCGTTAAGATGTTTTATTTTTTTGCATCAAAACGTCGCCCAATACGAAGAAAAGTCAAGAGAGATTTTTTGTCACAAATTGAACGAGGAATTTAAAAATGAGGAATTAGAAATGATTTGTAATATCTCGGTAGCGTACCACTTTTTTCTTTCTTTAAAAAAAATGAGATTATTACCCGTAAGCGCGCCAATGATGAACATAAAATTCTTAATCGCATGTCAAAAAATGCGCAATAACTACCTCTTAAAACCCCCCAAATTTCATTTGCACATCACGACAGATTTCAGAGCAATAAATTAAATCGTCAGTTTTTAAGAAAAACTTTTGACACCCCGTATCTCGGAAAACGAATCATTTGCGGACATACGTTTTTAAGCAAACTGCCATTATTTTCTCATGTAGAATCACCCCCTGAAATTTGTCGTACTTATTTACTAACACCCTGTATAATTTTGTTACATCATGTCTTTCAAACAATGATAGTATTTGTGGTAAAATATAATACATCCGGCTAAAGTAGAAGTCAAAGCATGAAACAATCTTGGTACTTACGGAGATGGTGAGGGTGGTGGTGAGAAAAAAAAGGAGCAGGGAGGAGTAGACGGAGGCACACATGTCTGCTGTTTCACATCATCATGCCACTTCACTCACCCGTCCGCGCCCCAGCGAGCTTCGCGAGACACTGAAATCTGAAGCACTGCAGAACTCGGGCGGAGACGCCGTCACTTGCCCGGAATCGGCGCTCCAACACTCTTGACTCCGGATAAGATAAACAGGCATGCACGCTCCAGAGGACGACCGGCAACTCATCGGATGATAGCAATAATTGCGGTTGCGATGGTAATTCCGACGATTCCTCGGTCAGACCGTTTTTCAATGCGAGGACAAAGAACGTTCTCCAGAGTTACAATGGCATGTGCAAAGAGCAACTATCTGTAAGCTGAAATGTTTGTCTAATTTGCATACTTCGCATCCTTCTTTGCATATTTGTTAATTTTGAAAAAAATAAGTTAAAGGAATGCATGTACTTTGACGTTTCATGAGACAGAGCTTCCCACATCACACAACGTCCAGTGAACATCAATTTTGGAACCGAGGTTAATGAATGGATGTCTAGAAATAATCATCAGTATGACATTCATGAAACTGTATCCAGCTACAGTCCTGGGGACTGTTTTTGTACTTTTCATTTCTTACTTTTTATTGTACATAATTAGAAAAGTGAAGAGTATTCTGTTTTATAAAAAAATTACTGTTAACATTAATGTAATGTGTTTTATGAAGCTGTAAGTTGTCAATTTCCACCCTGCACCCTCAATGTACGTATAAATTGCATTTTGCAATGCTTATATCCACTTTAATAGTATGATATTTGTTTGCATGTAGAAACTTAAAAACATGCTATCACTTGATGTGATTTATCTCTATGTACGCCAAATGTCTTCAAACACGGTTACTTATTGATTGACCCTCGTAAGATATAAATTGGCGCAAAATAAGAGAAATATTATTAATGGCATACAATCTAAACTTTGAAGGCATGACATGAAAAGAAAATTACAAGTTTCTGAAAATAAATATTCTAAAAACCTTAAAATTCATTGAGGTTGAAACTTACAAACTGACATGACTGATCTTTTTCCCAAAAAAGGTGTTTGAAGGTTTGATTTGGAATTTAAAAAAATGAAAAACCAATGAAATCGTAATTCCACTTAATCTTCGTCAATTCGTAATTCTATTCGAGGTTAATTGCAGGTATCGCAAAAATGCGTCACTAAATATTCCTCAATAATTACAGATTTTAATAATTCTCTGAAAGATTTTATATTTTTCTTTACTATAGTAGATTAAATGCAGAATTGTAAATGTAGACAATGATATTTATGATCCCAAATAATATGACATTTAAAAAAAAAGTAGCAAAATTATACAGTGCCACAAAAAAAGTACCTGGTCTGAAAGACAAGACCATGATGTTTGTATGTTTTTGGGGTCGCTAAATCCGAATCTGGGGTCAAGGTTAATCTGATCAGGTCAGGGTACAGGTCAATTCAAGGTCAAATCGTGAAAAGGTAAATGTAAAAAATTTGACAGTTTTCATCCGTTTTAGGGATTGCTGATTCTGAATCCAGCGTTAGATTTTCAAAATTCAGGATGGCGGACCGAGTATTAAAAATTTTAATATATTGAAAACTAAAAAATATTGTCAACATCTACATATAATTCTAAGTAAAAAGTGTTTCTAACAATTCTTTAGAAGCATATTTTTCTAGAAAAAAATTCATGAATACTGGAATATTTTATTCTATTTAATTGTTTTATGCTTGCAACGAATACAGTTACATATAATATATGCATATGGTTAAAGGAGTTTTTTGGGTTACTGATTCCGAGTTCAGTGTCTTTTTTACTCTATCACATCAGTGTCAAGACTATTTCAAGGTCAAATTGAGAAAAACCATGTGAGACCATTATTGGGCTTTCTGAAAATAAATTCTCATTACAAATCTACAATCTACCTCACCTTTGATGATATCGAACAATTTTATTGTCAAAAGATCTGCGGATTGGATTCCTCTCTTTATAATTATACAGGGTGATTCAGAATTTATCCAAAAAAATTTTGGAATAGATGCGGCATGAGAAATGGAGTCAATACCGTAAAAAAAAATTTTGTAAAATCCTTATAGTTTCCGAGAAAAAAATTATTGAAGTTACAGTACATTCAACGACTACATAGCTGGACAACTGTAGTCTCTAGCGTCATTCGCAATGCGCGTGGAGAGCCACGCGGCCTCAGCGACTCCGAATACTGAAATCGGATTTTGCAATCGTCGTTGCAATAATATTTACCTGTTATCTGTTCAATAGTTTTTTTAGTATAGTTAGTGTCAAAAATGGGTAGTTAGTGTCAAAATTGGTTTGCGTGTATAGCAACTCGGAGTTCATGGATATCGTTTTAATTTATGGTGAAGCATTTGTGATATGGTGAAGCAAGACAACATTTGTGTTAGTTCGTAGAAACTGAGTAAGATGGACCCAAATGTGTTTACACGTTGGTGGATAAAATTTTGAACAATTGTTGTAAATCGGGTATATCAAATGATTTTATTATTTAATAACACAAATTAATTGTATTAATTAATAAAGGCAAAAGCAGTTGAATTTGCCGATATAAAATAGGTGCGATAAAATTCTATTTACATATTTCTTTCCTTGCGAAAGTTTTTGTTCGTTTTTATCACACCGCCATGCCGATCGCATTGTGCGAGGTCAGATTTTACAGTGGACCAGTTTCCAGTGCCGTACAGAAGTGTATTTTTAAATCCTTTTCGAACTGCCCTTTTTGATTTTTTCTTTACAAAATTGTATTTGTAATGGTCCCCTGTACATCCAGAATTTGTTTTTTGGATAAGTTCTGAATCACCCTGTTTTTATATCCCATCTACCTTGGTATCTACGCCCCGTTTCCTTAATATCTTTTCGCCCTGTAATCTCTCAAATTCTCTTAGAATACTGTCTCTGATTTATTCTTCTCACTATAATATAGTCGTCCTCACTAGTATTGCTTGAATAGTCAACGATACTTTTATTCTCACTGTAATAATATGTATCTGATTCCTCATTTTCTTCTACCCATTTTTCATTTTGTTCTTCTACGGTTGAATCTACTTCAATTCTTTCTGTAAAATTACTGGTTCTTGCTTCCATCGTTTCCGTTTTTTTGTCAGCTGTAGATGAATAGGTATACAGGTTTTGTCACACTCTCTACATTGGCATAAGCGATTTTCTATTTCGACATCATAAAGGTGAGGTAGATTTGTAATGAGGATTTACATTCAGTAAGCCCAAAAACGTATAAGAATGGTCTCTTTCCACGCTCACACGGTTTTTCTCGATTTGACCTTGAAATGGCGTTGACACTGACGTGATAGAGTTAAAAAGACAACGGATGCGGAATAAGTAACTCAAAAACTCCTTTAACTAAAACACATTTTGTAATAGGTATCTGTATTCGTAGCGAATAGATTAAAATATTCCAATATTCCTGCATTTTTTCTCGGAAAATATGCTTCTAATCAGAACATTGAAAGAGACTTTTTACTTAAAATTATGTATGTAGGTTTCGACAATATTTTTATTTTTCAATATTTTAAAATATATAATATTTGGTCCGCCATATTGGATCCGCCATCTTGAATTTTGAAAATTTAACACTCTATTCAGAATTAGCGACCCCAGAAACTTCTTTATTCACATCCACATTTTTTAATGTCTCTGTTTTCGTTGCAAGTACAAACAGAGAAGTAAATATGCTAAAATGTTCGAATATTCATGATTTTTTTTCTGAGACAATATGCTTCTAATCGAAACATTGCGAGAGATATTTTTTACTTAAAATTTCATGTAAAATTCAACAATATTTTTTATTTTTCAGTATTTTCAAACTACTCGGTCTGTCTTATTGGATCCGCAATCATGGTCAAACTTTTTGCTTTAACTTTTTTTCGGGATATAGCCTTAGACTGATCTTGACCCTGACTTGATCGGATTAAACGTACCTCAGATTCAGATTCAGCGACCCCATGTAGGCATCATGGTCTGGGTTTTTCGAACCAAGGATCTGTTTTTTGTAAGTACTTTTCAAGTCTTCACCTACTTTTCACTTTTCGGGCTATTTTCAGTCTTCAAAATTAATATTCATAAAGCAGTTGGTAATCTGCACAGTGAAAATGAATAGTTGAAGTTTCTTAAAATGCATAACATTTATATAAAGTACATTTTTTTATAAAACAGAATTACTATTCGCTTTTTTACATTTGTAAAATGAAAAGTGAAAAGTGAAAAGTTGAAAAGTACTATCAAAAAATAGGCCCCTGGTGTTTTTTTGACGCTGTATATTAATGTATTTTAAACTTAATTTATATTAAGTAGTTTAGTATAAATATGTTTTAATAATCATTAATTATAATGTCCTTTTAATTAAAAATATTGTTTATAAAAGAAACATGAAAATAGAAATGTAGGACTCAGTATTTCTTTTGCTTGCTCATTTGATAAAACAAGGTCTTGCATCTTGACGGGGATAAGCAAGTTGTTTAGATCTCAACAAATAGTATTATAGTATATTTAAAAATAGATACGTAAACAGTTACATCGACAACTAAGGAAATAAATCATTAAATAATATTATTCCTTAATATTAAATATTTATAAGATAATGGAATTTACAACTCAGGTGGTAATAATGTAGTTTTTGTTATGGCATTTTAATCTGAAAATACATCTAAATTAGAAGAAATCTAGTATTATACTACACAACAATTTTTTCGAATTAATACTCATTTATTAGATTGTTATCTCGTCCAGATGTTTCGAGAAAATTAATAATATAACCAAGAAAAATCTGAAAAGTGGGGGTAACAAAATAATTACATAGTAGAGCTGATAGCTGAGATGATATAAAACATACGAAATTTTTTTACGAAAAATGTTCAATGTCAATTTTACTCAAGAAGGCAGGAACTGCATAGTTAATTTTAAATATGTGTGATCAAAGTTTAAACATTGGTTGATTCTTAAGGTCAACTAAATATGCCTCATTATTTCAGTTATCCTTAACGCGAAGGAGTGTCTTTTTTTTAAGTTTTACTGAATGATGTGTATCAAGAACTATTTTAATGATCTCATAATAGGTATACT